TCAGTCTCCTCAGAGAGCTCTTCTATGAGGGTACTTCAGAAAGTTTGTGGAAAAATAGAATTGAAAGATAATACAAATATTTTCATGAACTTTTTGAAGTACGCTTTTACCATTGGTTCTTTTTTTTTTAAAGATGACCGGTAAGGGGATCTCAACCCTTGGCTTGGTGTTGTCAGCACCACGCTCAGCCAGTGAGCTAACCGGCCATCCCTATATAGGATCCAAACCCGCGGCCTTGGTGTTATCAGCACCGCACTCTACCGAGTGAGCCACGGGCCGACCTTACCATTGGTTCTTAACTGGAGTGATTTTGTCCCCCAGGGGACATTTGGCAATGTCTGGAGACATTTTTATTGTCACAACTGGGATGTGGGTGCTACTGGCATCTAGTGGGTGGAGTCCAGGGATGGTGCTTAACATCCTTTAACACACAGGGCAGCCCCCACTCCACCCCACTGCACCCCTCAACAAAACTTCTCCAGGCCCCAAATGTCAGTAGAGCCAACATTGAAAAGCCCCGAGAATAGGTAACATTCGTATCTATATTCCTTTTCCTTCTTTTCTCCCCCACACCAATACTAATGTGCTGTACTGATTATTTTTTCATTAAACATGTTGGCTTTTCATTTCAACCCATAACAATTAAACAGTCTCAGTTTTATGGTAACTGTTAGCAGCTATATTTAATTCCAGTTAAAGGCAAACTAACATTTTTCTCCAGGTACCTTATTTATTGACTTTAGGTTGTTTTCCATTTTTGCTTTTGAAAACAGCTGCAATGAAGACCTTTTTGCCCATGTGAGAGGGTATTCACAGGATGAGTTCCTAGCAGTGGAACTGAGGGTCAGAGGCTACATGCCATTGACATTTGAAAGATACTGCCAGATTGCCCTCTGAAGAGGTTGTTCTGATATATGCTCCCTCCAGAAATGTAAGATCATGTATTTTTCTAACATGGTTTTTTTTTAATCTTTGGTTTCCGTGTACAGCCTAAGCTGTCTTCCCGTCAGCTGAAAAGTTCAAAATGTTGGCAGCAAGAGTGGATTCTGAAGATCCTCCCGATATAGAAGGGCAGGGGTGGAAGAAGGCCTAATAGCTACTATGAGCTGAGAAAGTGGAGCTCTTCTCTTCTCCCTGTAGAGGAGAGGAGAATCAAAATGCAGCTGAAGTTTTGAGAATGACAATCACGTTGGCTAAATTCCTGCTCGCAGCCCCCAGACAGATGTATTGGTTCATTCTAACAAGAATAAATGTAATAGTAGCTTATTGACCAGAGACACCTTATTTTGTAAAATGAGGTGCTTTTCCTTCTTTGTATTCCTTTTGATTACTAATATTTCAGAGTTCAGTCTTTTTAGGCTGAAATGAAGGGGTTATATTTACTGTAGGCATATTTATCGATGCAAACACACACACACACAGCTAGGTTATTCTGGTGAGTGCTGTGTCTGCTTTTATAAACCCTAAGGCTCAGACAGGTGGTGCTGTTAACATAGATAAACAGGAGTTAAGGCAAGATGTGAGTTTTCTTTTAAAAATTTTTATTGAATCATAATTGATTATACATATTTTTGGGGTTCAGCATTGACCTATGTTGATCAAATCAATATTACTAGCATACATATTGTTATAAATCATACTTATTCTTTATGCCCCTTATCCAATCTCTCCCCAACCCCTTCTTCCTCCCCCCTCTAATTACCCTAGATTTCTTCCCACCTGAAAGAGTAATGGTTACTCTGTTGATTTGTTGCCTAGATGATGTGTCCAATGCTGAGAGGTATGATCAGGTCCCCCAGTATTATCATAGAGCAGATACTGGAATGGGCTTTGTGGAGAGAGACATCCTTTTCTTTTCTTTGGTCTCTGCTGGCTGTGTCAATGCACTCCAGTGGCTGGTGGACCATCTGCATCGTGGTTGTGGTGTCTAGCCACTTTTGTGGCAGCCATGGTTATTGTGGTGGCTGTGGTGGGCCACCCACATGGAGGTGATGTTTTTGGCATGCTCCTTGGTGCTGGTGGTGTGCTAGCTGTGTGTGGGGGTGGCCTGGTCCCCATCTCCATGCCTCAGGTCCCTGGGTGGGCCCCAAGGCACTGGCAGTGTGCTCGGTTGTGTGGTGGGGGGTCTGGTCCCCGGATCCATGCCTCAGGTCCAAGATGTGATTTTTCTTTACCCATGTACAAGATTGGACTCATACAGGGATTCTCAGTCTTGGATGCCAATTAGAATTACTTCTGGAGATTTTAAAAGGCTGCCGCCTAGGCCTTCCCCCAGGCTAATGAAATTAGAATCTATGAGGGAGGGTCCTAGGCATCAGAATTTTTTAACGCTCTACAGGCAATTTCAGGGTTAGCAGTCACTGGACAACTACAGGGGATGTCATATTTTACAGCCTGTGGGTGCAGTCTGGCCCCCCACCTGTGTTTATAAATAAAGTTTTATTGGAACACAGACACATGCATCTGTTTATATATTAGCAGAGCCTAAATGGCCCACAAAACCCAAAATATTTACTCTCTGAGCCTTTACAGAAAAAGTTTGTTGACCTCTGATACAGTAGATTTTTTTGGTAACTGTGTGGAATCTAGTAACCATATAGGAATGTTCTTGAGAACATTGATGAACATGTCACTTGGGTTGCCCCTCTTCGTTTCCTGCCCTTCATGGAGAGTATTTTTGTGATATATTTTCTTTTCTAACTCGATGCTTGGAAAGGCTGCTTTTTTCCTTTGACATCCAGTGTGCTTCCTTTTTTCTGAAAGTGGAAATGGTGACACAGGCCCTAACCCTTCCTTACTGTCTCATTTGCAGTGTGGCTAAGTCATTATAAGTCCTACTTCTTCCAACTGCTCTTTAATCTGATCTTTCTTTTTTCTTTCCCTGTTTCCTTGTTCCTTATTTTTCTTTTTCCCCTTGCTGTTTTATTGTTTCACTCTATAAATTCTTTGTAAGCTGCTTCACATTCCATGCAGACAGGTGGGTATACAAGTAGATAAATAGTTTTCTTGCTCTTTCTCTGGTAAATTAGAATAAACATTCTTCCCCCTCTCAGAGGTGACTCTTGTGTTTGCACTACCTGGTCTTTGAACATCTGTAGTCCTGTCTCTTATAGGTTCTCTGAAAAGCCTCAATCAGTGCGTGTGCATACACTCGTAAATACACACGTGTACTCACATGTGGACACACATGCGCCACATACAGAGGTGTGTTTTTGGTGCTTTTTCTTTTTTTCTTTTTGGCAGCTGGCTGGTACAGAGAACTGAACCCTTGACCTTGGTCTTATAACACTGCGCTCTAACCAGCTGAGCTGATCAGCCAGCACTTTGGTACTTTTCTTGAATTACAAGGATGGTCTCTCTGCTGGCTTTGAGCACTCACTTCTGGAATCTCCCTGGGGGGTGGGGGTGGGGTGGGCGGGCGACCCCCAAGTGTGTTTTGGGGAAAGAGCCCTTCCTAATCTAACCTTGGTGGGGATGTCATTATGGTGATAAAATTAAGTTGGAGGAATTAGTTGCTTCTGGTCACCTTGGGGGGGTGGGTGGGCCTTTTTGGGAGGCTTCTTCTGGTCACTTTGAAGGACTAATTTCTGGGTGGCAGTGTTAGAGAATGGGTGAATGGGAAGGTGAGTGGGTCTTGCCAAAACAGAAAGAGGAGAGAGTGAGGGCTTGAAACAGCTCTTTCAGCCCACCTCTCAGACTATATCCTGGGGCCTCTTTTTTTTTTTTTTTGTCTTTTTTTATGTCCGGCAACGGACCGCAACCCTCAGTGTCGCGCCCGCACCGGACCGGGATCGCAACCCTCGGTGCCGTGTCCGCACCTCGCTCAGCCAATGAGCGGGAACTGGTCCGTATGTGGGATCCGAACCCTCGGCGGGAGTGCCGCCGCACTCCCAAGCGGCGCACTGTAGCAGTGCGCCACCGGGCCGGCCCCTATCCTGGGGCCTCTTTAACAGCCTGATGAATGGAGATGGTCTTTGGCACCAGTGGTAACAGGGAGGTGAAGGGGGGTTCAGGGAGTGAGCTCACAGCTGGTGGCAACAGGCTAGGTGGTGGCTTCTCAGTCGGTTGATTGTACGCCACCTGCTTTTTGATCTGTTTTCTGGGATTGGCCGGGGTAGGACAGATGCCCCATGTTCTGTGCTTTGGGTGGGTTGGAGGATATACCGGAGGGTGGAAGGCAAAGTGAAAGATGGCATGCTCCCCCCTGCCAGGCTTCTCATTGCTTTCTGGACCTTTCAGTCACCTTAATCCTCCCTCCCCTTATGTTTTTTCGGGTACTAGCAGGGGCAGCAGAGGATGTAGAAAAGGAATTCAAGAAAGGTAGGCTCATCAACCCTTTGGAATCTGGTCCATTTGGTCATATAAGGAGCCCTTGGCAGAGGTGAGGGGATAGGACCTCAGGACAAAGAGTCTTGTCAGAGACCTTGGCCTGGGAATTAGGCTGAGGAACTTGGACTCTTACCTGAGTGAGAAGACCTGTTAGATGCATGTTTAATGTCCAGGGCTAATCTCTTCACCTTGCCTCACCTAGATTTTGTAAGCCAGCAAGGTCTGTTTCTCTTACATTTCCTTCTCTTTCTAGTTTGAGTCCCAGACTAGGTGGGCTAAGAGTGAGAATTAAAGCCTCTGTGCTAAATAGGCAGCCAAGACCCCCTCTGAGGGACTCCGCATCTCTCTTGGACAAAAGCCCTCTCTAGTCCGGGCTTGGAAGTTACATGCACAGCCCGGCCAGACACAATTGCTTTGTCTACTGAAGCTGAGATTGAACATGTTACTGTAACTTTTGGCTTTGGAGGATCCCTACTGATGCCGAGTTCCACATATAGCAAAAAGTTTTTGTGTTGCATGTGCCATCACATGTTATGTGTTTTATGTTATGTGCTCCTGGTTGTGGTGTTTGGTGTTTTGGTCTGGCTTTGGGAGGAGGAAGCTGATTGATGAGCGTGATGTGTTCATTCCCTAAGTGCCTGTGCTTATGAGGGTGTGACAATGTCTTCCAGATCGAAGCAAAGCCGAGATGGACTTAAAGGAGCTGAGCGAGTCGGTCCAGCAGCAGTCCAACCCCGTTCCTCTCATCTCTCCCAAGCGGCAGATTCGCAGCAGGTTCCAACTAAATCTTGACAAGACGATAGAGAGTTGCAAAGCACAATTAGGTATGTCTTCTGGTTTTCTTGCAGCAGTGTTATTATCAATATTATTTGTAGGGATATCACCTGGATGCAATAAGGGTTGAATCCTGGCTGCTTTTAGCAGTTGCTTTAACCTTGACCTTTGTTCCACTAAAATATATTAACACTCAGCAAAATATTTCAGACTTTTCAAAATATTCAGAAGGGGTCTTTGAACTCATCAGAGTTTATTCTTGGGTGATAGCAGCCTGAAAACTAAAGATACAGGTTTGAAGCATGAAGGTTTGAAAGCATAAAGATCCTCAGTTTGCCTCTCAGTACACGTCAGTGACTCAATATCAGTACTGAGTATATACCAAGTGTCCAGCACAAAGCTCTTTCCCTTCAGACTGGGCCACTCCCCACATGGCAAATCCTTCCTGCTTCTGTACCTGTTGCCTCCCTTCCATTTCCCTGTGCTGCCTACTTTCACATTGCCTACCTGAATCCTGCCCTTTCCTAAGGCTGAGCTCAGATCTCACCTCCTCCAGGAAGTCTCCTCTGACTGCCCTCCCTATCTGCCCATCTCCTTTGCTCGGAAGCATCAGTGGTAACTTTGTGTGGGGGTATCTCTCCTAATCTAGGTTGGAAGCTCCTTGAGGGCAGGGAGGTTGTCTTATAAGAATTCGCCTTTTCCATGGCACCTAGTACATGCTCTGGACTATTTGTTGAATAAGTAAATAAAGCCAGGACAGCATTTATAAAGAAGTGGGTTGCTGGCTGGGTCTCAGGAGGAGAGAGAGCTCCTCCAAGGCGAGGTGTCAGTGGGTGCTCTAGATCTTCAGGTGAGAAAGGAACTACAGTTTGGGGTCAGTATATATAATATATATATAATATTGGTGTCTGTCTGTATTTGTCAAGTAGCTTGTTGGGTTGCCTGTTTGGTTAGGACACTGAGTTGCATGGGTGAAATCTGGCAGCACATTTAAATATCCCTCTTGGGTCCTTCCATGCAGCTGGTCTAACTCCTTGATTTGTTATTATTGCTAATAAGAATTTTAATATTTCTATGTACTGAATGCCTTCTGTGTACCCTGCACTTATGCTAAGTCTGCTTAGGTTGTCCTGGGAGTTGATACTATCATCAGTTCCATTTTCCAGATGAAGAAACTAAGGTTCAGAGAGGTAGGTCACTTGTTCAGGGTCACACAACTAACAGAAACAGAGGAGCAGGGTTTGAGTTCAGATCTTTCACGCTCTAATGCCCAAGCTTTTCCTAACATATGTGTGGTCATACCTGCCCTTCTTGTGTCCAACCATTAGCTACCACTAATACAAGCCTCGGACCTCAAAATTATACCGGATCTGGATTTTTGTATTTTGTGGGGTTTTTTTTTTTCCTTTTTGTCTTTCTTCGTGACTGGCAACGGGATCGCAACCCTCAGTGTCGCGCCCGTACCGGACCGGGACCGGCAACGG